TGACCACAAAGCCCATCAACGGAGCTATTTTCATCTTCAACCCCAGGACTGGTCAGCTCTTCCTCAAGATCATTCACACATCTGTGTGGGCTGGACAGAAACGTCTGGGACAGGTACAGCGGCGCTCTGCTCACCAGCTCTGCTTTTTGTTATTGCTTTGTTCCTGTTGTGTTTAGATTTGACTGCTCAATTTTGTACTACAAACTCCTACTGTGGTTATTTTGGAATCATGTATTTAGGAAATAGTCCTCTTACTGCATTTTATAGTTGGTTTGTGTTTTGTTCCACATTTGTTTTTGCTCTTTTCTATTGTGTGAAGTTGAAAATATTGTAGCTAGAAGTGTTCATATAAAGCCTTACCAGTGCTACAGTCACCTAGCACTGGTAAGGTAATTTTATGATGTTTAATTAGTCTTGAATATGTCTTAATTATCATCATTGGTTGATGTTAAGATACTGATGTTAATGATAAAGTGACAATATCGGATAATGCCTAATTGAACACCCTTTTTTAAAAGCAGCTCCTAACTCCAGTCCTCAAGTAAATAACACTGGCACGGAAATGCCTCTCATCCCTTTGGCATTGCTACATAGATATTTGGTATAAAGGGTGTTACTTTTTTCTGTGTCCAGCTTCATCCAAATTTTTTTTTTTCCTTTGTCTCTGTAGCTGGCCAAATGGAAGACAGCTGAAGAAGTGGCTGCCCTGATTCGCTCCCTCCCTGTGGAAGAGCAGCCAAAACAGATTATTGTAACAAGGAAAGGCATGCTGGACCCTCTGGAGGTGAGACTGTCATATTAATAACTACTACAGTAATTAGAATCCTTGGACAAATTATCAATTTTCTCAGTTCTCATCTCTATGTGTAAATTCAGAAAGTTAGATACATACTCCCAACACTTTGCAGTTGTGATACCGTTGTTTTCTCCTCACAGGTCCACTTGCTCGACTTCCCCAACATTGTGATTAAGGGCTCTGAGTTGCAGCTGCCCTTCCAGGCCTGTCTGAAGGTGGAGAAGTTTGGAGACCTGATTCTGAAGGCTACAGAGCCTCAGATGGTGCTGTTCAACCTCTACGATGACTGGCTCAAGACCATCTCATCTTACACAGTGAGCAAGAGCCTCAGACAGGATTAAAATGAGTTGTTTAAATCTGTACCACTATGTTATGTCTCTGTTCAGCTGTATGCTTAATTCCATTGGAAAATTATAACATACCAAGCTGTTGGAATGTGTTTACCTGCACAAATAATACTTACAAATCCTAAGGTTGTCAAGTATACTTGAGCTGGTTCAAGCAGACTTCCAAAAAAACCCTTCAGGGTGGATTGATTTTTGGTAAGATCACCTTCTTCCCCTGTGTCAATATTTTGTGTTTGGTACTCTGCTGCATTTCTAGGCCTTCTCCCGGCTCATCCTCATCCTCAGAGCGCTCCACGTCAACAATGACAGAGCCAAGGTGATCCTGAAACCTGACAAGACAACTATCACTGAGCCCCATCACATCTGGCCCACCCTCACAGACGAGGAGTGGATCAAAGTGGAAGTGCAACTCAAGGATCTCATTCTGGCAGATTATGGCAAAAAGAACAAGTAAGTATTGTGTTTAAGTTTATTTTTTTGAGCTGAAACAGAGACGGTATATAGCTCAAATAGTTGTCAGTATGTTGGGACTGCAGTTTTTAAGATGACAGATTTGCATTTTGTAACTGGGTAGAGCTGAATAAATCCAGACTTGTTTAGTTTTCAGTGCTCTCCCTCTCTCCCTACAGTGTGAACGTAGCCTCACTGACCCAGTCCGAGATCCGTGACATCATCCTGGGTATGGAGATCTCAGCTCCATCACAACAGCGGCAGCAAATCGCTGAGATTGAGAAGCAGACCAAAGAACAGTCACAGCTCACCGCCACGCAGACCCGCACTGTCAATAAGCATGGTGACGAGATTATCACCTCAACGACCTCCAACTATGAGACCCAGACCTTCTCCTCCAAGACTGAGTGGAGAGTCAGGTATGTGGGCATTTAGTTTAAGTTTCAGACTTTGTTTACTCCGTAGTGAGTTAAATATTGATCTTATAGTCCATAATGAAAAATAGCCATTACAGCTTATTGCAGTAAATGGTAAACTAGATGGCCATAATGTTTGATTTTCATGTTTGTTGTTTCATGTTGGTTGGCTTTAATGTCCCTTGTCCTTGTTCTGTCAGGGCCATATCTGCCGCCAACCTCCATCTCCGAACCAACCACATCTATGTGTCATCTGATGACATCAAAGAGACGGGCTACACCTACATCCTGCCCAAGAACGTCCTCAAGAAATTCATCTGCATCTCAGATCTACGAGCACAGGTATACAGGGATTCATTGTCCTGCAGTTTGTACATGGTTTCCTTTTGATATGTAAAGCAAAACTATTTTATTGATACATAACTTTGTATTTCTGCTTTGGGGTACCTCATTACTTAAAATACTTAATATGCACTGTGTTGTTCCAGATTGCCGGCTACCTGTATGGCACTAGCCCACCTGACAACCCGCAGGTGAAGGAGATCCGTTGTATTGCCATGGTGCCTCAGTGGGGAACCCACCAGACTGTTCACCTGCCCAACCAGCTGCCTGGTCATGAATACCTCAAGGTAAGACCCATGTAGTTTGAGAGAAAGCTCAGTCTGAGTATTTTATAATGGCTGTTTTAAAGTCTGCTTTTTCTTGTCCCAGAAGTTGGTAACATTTTTCTATTCTTTAAACAGGAAATGGAGCCCCTGGGCTGGATCCACACCCAGCCTAACGAGTCACCTCAGCTGTCCCCACAGGATGTCACTACCCATGCCAAGATCATGGCTGACAACCCTTCATGGGATGGAGAAAAGACCATCATCATCACCTGCAGGTTGGTTTCATTACAAAATCTGAAACAACTTGCAGCGTTTTTCAGATGGGCATCCTCTTCCTATATCATTTTATTCTTCTGTAATTTCCTAGTCATTTTCCACATGTTGCTTAGAAATAGATGAGTGCCATGTAGCTGTAAGGAGTTGACATCTGTAGACCAAATATTTAGTATACCTGTTTTGTCCTGATGCTAAAATGTTGACTCTGTTACAGTGTAAACTGATAGGTCTATTCCAAAAATGGACAAAGAGGGTAGAGTGTGAATGGAGCTCTCTAGACATCTAGTGGCCAGCCCCCTGTGCAGGACCCTCCCCTCTCACCTGTCACTCAGAGTTGCTATGCCCTTAATTAATGCATAACTTTTAGTCTTAATATACAGTGCTAAACTGTTATCACAGAGTGATACAAATCTGAAAATATTTGAACATACAATAAGTAGATGATGCTTTGGGTTTGTAAATTACATTGCAAAGTCACTGATATTTGATTATACATCTTTTAGTGGTTATTCTATAACAGTAATATATTTCCATTTTGAATTAAGCAGCTTGTTAGGGACTTGATGCTAACTTATTATGATTTTTAAAAAGTCTGTCCTTTGACTGAAAGGCTTTTACAGTGGTTGTCTTGCTTCTTTCATATAGATGACATATAGATGGAAATTCACTTGCACATTAGATGATAGGTGGATGGTACTTTAATGCATTTTACCTGTGGTTTTCAGCTTCACTCCAGGCTCATGCACGCTCACAGCCTACAAGCTGACACCCAGTGGCTATGAGTGGGGTCGCCAGAACACAGATAAGGGCAACAACCCTAAAGGCTACCTGCCATCCCACTATGAGAGAGTGCAGATGCTGCTCTCTGATCGCTTCCTTGGCTTCTTCATGGTGCCAGGACAAGTCTCCTGGAACTACAACTTCATGGGTCAGTAGCCATTTTGTTGCTGTTCTTATTTTAGAGTTGCCTTTGTTTTATTCTTTCGTTTCTTGTCTTAAATTATTCTGCTTTAAAACAGAATTGTCTGTCATATCCTTCATACTACTGTTTGTGTTCATATTTAGCACGATCAGGTGGAAATACAAATGTCTTTCTTCTTATGCATATTAATACACAGCATCTTGTTAATTAAATGTTATAAACAATTTATTATTTGAGCAATGCATGCCATAGTGCTCAAACCAATGACACCAAGTTGTAGAGTACGAACAGGGTTGCCAGAATAGTTGAGTTCATATAACCATTTTGTTAACTTGTCTTTCTGCAGGTGTGCGCCACGATCCCAACATGAAGTACGACTTGCAGCTGGCCAACCCCAAAGAGTTCTACCATGAAGTCCACCGGCCTTCGCACTTCCTAAACTTCGCCTCATTGCAGGAGGGTGAGATCTACAACGCTGACCGCGAAGACATGTTTTCTTAAGAGTTTGTTCTGCAAATAGGTTCTGTAGATGCTCTACCAGAATCATGTGGAGCCAGTCCAGAACAGCTCTTGTAATATTCCTATTGAACATTGTGATGTTTGGAATTTTTATGTAAAGGCTTAAGGACCTTTTACGAATCTGTTAAGTTTTGCTATTATGTTCCCCCTCTCTTTCCTCCCTTCTGAGTAAAGTGGCTTCTGCTATCTCTACGCCTATCTGTATTTGTTTGTAGTTTTCAGTACACAGTTCTTAAGTGTAATATTTCACCATTGACATTGTGTTTTAACGGTAAAGACTTACTTCCCCTTAGCCCTCAGAAATGAAAGTTGTATTTTCATGCCCTGATACTATGTTGTAGTGCATGTCCTGTGACATTGTAGCTTGGGTATAAATAAAAATCACAGTCTTTGTAAACAGTCATGTGATGATGTAATCTTTTGTCATCCTGTTTTGTCTAAAAATGTCCATGTGGTGTAAGCACAGAGAGAAGGGAGACTTTTTTTTTTCTTTTTTACTGTACAAGGGAACGTTGTTTTTGCTGTGCCTCCCTCTGCAGAGAGGCCAGAGGACAACACCGCCTAAAGAAAAGCCCTCCACTTGGTTTCAGTGACGTGCTTAACCACACTTCTTGCACACTCGGGTTTTGAAGCTGGGGCTGTTTTTAACTTGGTACAATGACGCTGCACGTTGGGTTCCTGCCTCATAACAGGTTTTAGCTGTGATGGACGTTTTGGACTGCTAGAGGTTATTTTTGGTGACAGCAGATCTACAGATAGAATTCAATAATCAGGCTTTGCTGCATTCATCAGTGTGCTGGCCAGATCCACCGTGTACTGGAGACCTGCGTGTACTCTCATGACATTGGCCAGAAAAGTAGGAGGATCCAGCAGCGAATAAACCCCAGAAGTGCTGCCCTAGATTGTTTAGTCTTGTTATACAGAGCATTGCGTAGTAGTCGATGCACTTGGAGTGTTTTTTTTGTGTGCGTGTTCTGGGAGGGTGTGTAAACGTGTTTATTGTCGGAACAGAAACGGGGTCAAGTTCAGCAACGTTAAACTTTACACTAGTGCTACTCTTGACGTGTTGTCACGTTAATAATGATATAGTTTTACAGTTGTCTGCCATGTGTCGCTGAGGACGAGCCAGTCTCGGTTTCGATAGCTGCTAACAAGCCACCCGCGCTCAGACATGGAGGATCCGTTGACACATCAGGACACCAGAGACACAGAGGGCTGCTTTGACCGGACCTTATCGGCTCTGACTGTGGATGATGTGTACAACATAGCCAAACTGATCGGCACCGAGGTGGAGAAGCTAATTGACGCCTACGGCAAAGAGAGCGTCGAGGGTCTGGTTCCGAAGATTGTGAAAGTGCTGGAGCTGCTGGAGAGCTTTGCGTCGAGGAACCATGCACTCAAAGCGAGGGAAGACGAGCTGCTGAGGAGCTTCGAGACCATACAGCTTCAGAAGAGACGAGCTGCCAAAGACGGCGAAGAGAGCACCGATAAACGTGAAATACGGGTGAGAGACATGGCAGCTGCTGTGCACAGTCAACCACAGCCGTTAGACCCCTTACTGAGGCACGCGCCCCAGAAAAATCACACGTTCGACTTTTAACAAGGTACTAAATTTGGCAGGGCATTAATTTAGATGGGAAATAACAGGAATTTGTTGTTCTAATCCAGGATTTTAAAGCAAAATACAAGATGACATTAAGTATACACCACGGTGCTGACGTGTGCACGTCGTAGCGGGGGCAGTGCAGCGCGCACGCAGCAATCTATGTATTGGCGCGTGAAACAAAAGGCAGGAATGGACTGTATGTGATGGAGACTAAGTAAAGCTTTTGGATAATGCAGATGATTTCACACATAAGTGACTCGTGTAGATGGACATAAGAAACGACCGAGACAGGAAAGAAGTTCAGAGGGATGAGGGTGAGAGAGGTGAGACCTGGCTGTAGTTGGTAAACAAGGTAAGGGTAGTTAGCTAAGGTTAGCTAGCTAAGGAACCAGGCGTTGATGTTGAATGTGAAGTAAATTAGAGCTCTGTACGTCAGTGCATATGATCATTTGGACTACTCATAAAACGCTTTGAAATGAATGCCAAATACAATGGGTATACATCACACAGCAGTCTGTTAACATTGGACTATTGGGCTGTACCCCTGTAAAGCTTTATGTTTGGCAATATACCCACATCACCATACAGTCAATGTGCATGATACACCAGTGTTACAACTATGGAGTAACGTTATGCTGCTTGGGCCAAAGCCTAGTTACCAAACCTCTAGTTACCAAAGACTTGCACACAAAAGAGAGAAAGCTTTTGTACTAAGCAAACTGAGACAGCTTGATCGTCTGAGCCTTGAATGATATAAAGTGAAAACCTGCTACTGTGCCTTGCTGTCAGTCATGGTGTCTACTACCCAGCCACAGCCACAAAGAAATAAAAGAATCCACACAGGGACATGCAAAACAACCTCATAAACAAAAACAAGTAAAACATAGACAAAAACCACAAACACACACAAAGCCTCCAAAAAGAGAAATGAAATAGCTAAAAGAAATAAAAAAATGGCCCAAAAAAGTTGCAAAACCTGTGCAAAGAGGTGTAAAATGGCCACAACTAAATATAGATGCAAAATGATTAAAGCAAGATTCCCACAGACGCTAAATTGCAAAATGACTATAAAGAGGACGACAATAATTAATGGCAGATGCGAGCTACAACATCGCGGTGTCATTGGGCCCTTTTCACTTATTCATAAATCAGTTTTTAAACATTTACAAATAACTAAATAAACACATGGGAGTTTCAGTGCAGTCTGTGTGTGAATGGGTGGAGGGGGGATAAGTGGACATCCTATGCCCTCTTTGATGTTATGGCTTTACAATCTGGCCCCTGTGCTCTCCACCAGGAGCTGCAGCAGAAGGAGCAGCAGTGGCAGACGAGGTGTGAGGAACTGCAGGCCCAGGTACAGCATCTCCAGGTAGACATGGAGGAGCTTCAGAGTAGGCTCGAGGGCAGCCACGCACAGGAAGGTATTGCTTGTCTACTAAATTGCTTCCCAAATCAGTTACAAAATACTTTATTTACCCTAAAAGCAGCCTTTCAGTGATCATTGCCCTATGTTGTTCTTTATAAACAAACAAACCTGAAGCCATTTGATTACACAGTTTTCAGTTGGTGTCTTGTCAGGCATACAAATATATGTAGCAGTATGTATGTTGGAAAATCTTCTCAAACTGTTACAGTTCAAAGCTGTGGGTTAACAGCGAATTGACTGTGACTGAAAGCAGTCAAACTGGTTACAATGCTGTTTACAGACCGGTCATTGTGCGAGGGGAAGCAGCAGTAGAGGGGGTGCAGAAGAGGACGCCTCCAAAAAAACAGAGAAAAGGTCAAAAACATTAAATTATAAAATAAAAATGTTTCTGTTAATAATAAGACTACTGTAGTTTCACTTGTATAAGAAGCACATACTGTAACTGACTGACAGATGAGAAAGTGAAACAGCAACAGTGGCAGTACTGACTGGGTGAAGCTGCTTCGCTCACTCTAGTTTTATTGTACTCACATGAAAAACATGCTGTCTCAACACTTTTATGAGTTTTCATCTTATGTAATGAAAGTGCTGTCAGGCTGATGTGTTGTATTCAACTGAGGCAAAGTTCAAATGTGCTGTCAGCACTTTATGCACAAGAGATTCGTTTTAAGGGACTGCGGTATATGCTGTAAGAGACGCGCCTTGTTTTTTGTTGCAGTGCCAGTACATGGTAAATGGACTGTATTTATATAGCGCATTTTCACAGTGTGTTGCACTGGCCAAAGCGCTTTACAGGGAAATCATACACCGTTCACACACCGATGACGACAAGGCTGCCACACAACGGCGCTAGTCAAGCCACCGGGAGCAATTCAGGGTTCAGTGTCTTGCTCAGGGACACTTAGGCATGCAGGGAGACCGGGAGTCGAACCACCAACTTGCTTGTCAGAAGACGACGTGTCAGTTTATCCAGCTCACTTTGGTTTTATTTGCCCAGGTTTCAGGATAACCACATCAGAGATTTTGGCCTCTAAACCACTACAATAAAGTTTACTTTAGCTAATTCATAGTTCTCTGTGTGAGCTTTTTAGTGAGACAATAGTTACTATGAAAAGTTTTCCTAATTTAGTGGCACTTTGGAAAAAAGTTGTCAAATTTTCCTTAAGTTTTCCTTGCTGTTTACAATACACATTAAGGTCTACTTACCTCTAAATGCTGGGCTGTGGCATACATTTAGAGATACACATTTCAAAACCTGGGCACTTAAAAGTGAAACTACCTGAAAGGTGAGATTTGCATTAGGGTCAAGTGAGAGATACAATGTGTTTTAGTGATTTGTGTTACCTGAGCCATTAAGTCTGTTTAACATGTCGAGATTATGTGCCATTTCTACAATTTCATTAAGGTACTTCGCTTTTGTCATGTGGTAATAACCTGTTATGCGTAGATTTCTTCTATTTAATTTGAATTTATTCACGTTTTATTGATGGAAAGAGGCTCTGGTTTAGTTTGTTTAGTTTGACATTTCAGAGCTGCTGTTTTCTTTACCTCTGGTTGTTTATGGTTGTGTGTGTGTCCGTGTAGACCGTGTCCAGCGGCAGGAGCGAGAGGTGATGCTGAAGCTGAAGCAGGTGGTGGATAAGCAGAGAGATGATCTGAGGGCCAAAGTTCAGGAGATAACCACTATCTCCAAAGAGGTGGAGGCGGTAAGAAGACAACAACACCTCATATAAGGATTTTTCTCCCTGTTCACACTTGATACGTTATTACCAAAAGTCACACATTCACACACAGGAAGAACATGCAAAGTCCACACAGAAAGGCACTGGGTCGCCCCAAGCTCGAAACCAGAACCTTCTTGCTGTGAGGTGACAACACTAACCGCTGTGTCGCCCAGCGTTCAACAAATTTTTCATCGTTAAACTGCTTAATCCATCAGCAGACGGTGGTCAACGGGTTTAAAAGATTCTGGAATAGAGAGAAGCTCACTACACAAAAAGCTGTCGTCAAGTGTGCACAAAACCTGCGACGTATGGATACACACAAACACTGTTGTGATGCAGACTACAAAGATCACACCCATAAATATTTCCCCATAGAAACAATGGTGGGTTTTGTGTTACTATCATGTTTAGAATGTGTAATATTTTTAATTTTGTAATATTTTTTATACCCTTATCACATACACACATAATTACACAGTCATGCATCAAATGCAGCAACATAAGACACTTTGCGTCAGGAAACCACACCACTAAACCTTAAACCCACTGGGAATCAGGAATGAGTTAACAATTAGTGACAGAGGGAAGAGTTCCATCAGTTTTCCATAAGCTGCACTTTAGGACAAGTCTGGGCAAGGTTTTCACTACCACACAGCTACTGGGTTTGTGTGTGCACGTCTGTATGTGTGTCAAGGCACATGTACCTCATAAACTAAATAGCAGTCATAACTGGGTGTGTATTTCTTATTGCTTAGTTTTTTGTTCCTAGTCACTTGACTTGAGTGAGAGTCATACAAAACAACTCATAGCCAACTGAGCTAGTTTATCTGTTTGCTCAGACAGATGCCGTGATTTCATTCCTCCTTACAATGAATAGTGCGCTTGTCTTGATATTGATCTGACTGGCTACCCCTGGGGCCACCCCTGCTAGAGTCAAAACGTGATGCTTGTCAGTATAAAGCAGCAACCTCCGAGGCTGAGAAATGAAGCCAATCCAGAAGTGCAAAACCTGCAGTTCTTTGAACGGCCACTTGAGGCTGGTTCCAGGTTCCTGGCCAGGAGTAAATAAATTAGCTAAAGAAAGCACTATGTTTTTCTCATTTTTACACAAAATAAACAGTTTGATTCCTAATATTGTATGGTTTATCATTTTGTAGAACTAGGGTTTTAATTTACTTTTTACATGTATTTCAAATGTGCCTCTGAGTCTGTACCTCAGCCTTGGCACCCAATCAAAAATGTTCTAGATCCGCCACTGCCCATGAATAAAATGTGTTTTTTATATCCATCTGTGTGGCTGTGCAGCTTCAGGAGCAGCTGGATCGCTTCATGAAGATGAACGCAGAGCTGCGACATAAGCAGAATGTCCTGCAGGCCCAGCTGAAGAGCACTGTGGAGAGGAAGACCGACATGGAGGCCGACCTGAAAGAGAAAACCAAAGAGATAGAAAACCTCCTAACACAGCTGGACAGAACCAACAGCAACTGCCCTGTATGCACGCTGCGTTTGTGTTTCTTTCTTTCATGTCCACTGATGCTCATTGTCACATGCACATTATTGTGCTTGTGTGGCTTTGCTGCTAACATTCAACGATATTTATTTATACTGTAAAAAAAAAACAGTGCTTGAGCAGCATGGATTTATTTTCTGAGGTCACAAAGTTGACCATCATATATAAGAATTGCTCAAGAGTCCCTAACAAAGGCGAAATGTGCGAGATGTAAATCGGAAGCTGGATTAACTGATCAGATGACACTGCTTTCATACAAACCAAACTAACCATATTACAGCAGCCTATATCTGTTTTGCTTCAGTTTCCTCCTGCAATGAGCTTAGAATATGACCTGTTTGCTGTAATTTGGATGAACCAGATGACTTTCTGTCCTCCCATCAGTCCAGCCCAAGTCAACCAGCTTATGAGTCCTTGGAACAGTTGGCGAGTCAGAAGGATCCTGACAAGCCATGCTTCACCAAGAAGGAGGTGCGTGACATCATTTTTGAGAGGAATGAACTCAAAACCAACTTGTTCCTGGTGCAGGAGGAACTCAGCTACTATCAGAGGTGGGTCCTTCATGTGTGTGTGGACATGTATTGTTTTATCTTTCTGAGAAAAGATTTCAGTCGAAAATGTTCTGAAGGTGCACATAAAACAGTAAAATGCAGATATCAGTTGTTGGGTATGTAGGTAGTTTCCTACAATTATTACATAGAGTTTTCACAAAAGAAACTGCTTCTAAATATTTTACATGTAACTGAAAATGATTGTTCCTGCAGGGAGATCCTGAATGAGGAGCGGTGCCCAGGTTTCCTCTTAGGAGCCATCCGTTCTGTCATCAAGAAAAAGAGAAAGCTCATTAAGGCCAAGATGCTTGGGATGTCTGACAACGAACGCAGCAGCAGGTCTCTCTTACACACACAACTCATGATTTCCAAAATAATGAAGAATTGTGTGCAGTAGAGAGCACAGTTTAGTCCTCAGTTTCTGTTTTCGCCAGTGACGAGGAGGACAGGAGCTCTCTGTTTGGGCAGACAGAAGTAGATGGCTCACAGTTCGACAGCACTGACAAACCAGCAGAGTCACGCATTCAAAACCTGTGAGTACAACTTCCAGTCCCCACTGCTACACTGCACCATACAGACCTGAAACCAAAATGCTGTCTTGGAAACAGACCGTGCTTTTTGAATATGTCAAGCTCCATATGTATGAACCAGAGCCCATGAGCTGTTCATTTTGACTGACTTACTTGTTCTGACTTTGACAGTTATATCAAATAACAAATCTTGTACTGTACAGACAGTTCTCAGGTTACCTGTAATGAATGCGTGAGCGTGAATCAGGTTACCTGTAATGAATGCGTGAGCAGCCAGACAGAACACACGGGTACAGGTTGGACGCACATTGTGCTTCTCTTCAGTGATCTGTCCAAATAATAATATGAAAATATATTGACAACAAAAGGTTTGAGAGAGCACAAATCAAATTTCGAGCACGTCAGTATGTAAGTCAGCCTTTGAGATCATTTCCCATCTTTGGTTTGTTTTTTATAATGCTGCTGTGTAACCAGCTATGGGCCTGGCCGGTACTGGCCCACCCAGATGAGCTTCCTCACAAGAGTTTGGAAAGTATAGCCTATAGAAGTAAGATATCAAGAGACTGTGTCTTAGCATATGCTGAGGCTAACACCTCCTTTCCACCGGATCCGGCTGCAACCCGGTTCTGATCCGTCCTCTGTATGGTTTCATCCCCTACTGGGAGCGTCCACAGAGCGGCTCGTTGTGTTGCTGGTTTTATGTGTAGCTTATAGTTCCTGGTTTCTGTGCTTCTACGGTAAGCAGGCTTATTTATGGTTTCTTTTTTTGTTTTAATTATGTCATCCTCATAGGCTAATCAATTTGTAGCCTCCCTGTTTCACATAGATATCTTTTGGATAAAATGATATTTGATTGCTGGGTTCAACTTTGTCAGAAGCATCCCAGATGCACCATCCATCAGAAATAGACTTGATGTGTATCTTTAACACAGTGGACCAGAGAGCCAGAGATTATCTGAAGTAAATATATATTTTTGGCCCAAACAGACACAAGTAGAGAGCAGATGTAGTAAACTTTGTCTCTCACAACTGTAGCACTTTGCACTATAACTCTGGTTAAATGTGAAGCAACAGCAATAAGAACCTAAATGACCCAAATCACTGCTGTAAAAATCTAAATCAGAAACACCACTGCCACTATCTAATCCTGAGGTCTTCCTCAATCTGGGCTATATTTAGCTGTAATCCCTGGCTGCATTTCTGACCTCAGGCCTGTCTTTTCTACCCTGCAGCTTTGGCTTCCTGGGACGGCCGGGCAACAGCCGGATCCCGACCCACACGAACAGCCCAGCCTCCAGCTGGGAGATCCTCGGAGACTCAGAGGCCGCTGATGAGCCGGAGCAGAGCCCGTCTTCCTGAGGCCGGTACTGACTTGAGATTCCTCCAGTCTGCCTTTGTTTCATCTCAAACACACACCCCTCTCTAGTCAGTCACAGCTTCTCCCTCAGCTTGTCAGAGAAGACCTGCCTGTAGCTCAGGATAAAAGGTTACAAAGCCAGTTGAACGTGGCCCCAGTGTGTATAACACAAAAGTACTATCGGAGTGTGAGGAAATGTATGAATGTGTTTTTGCTTTATTTTGATTGCATTTACTTTCATTTCCCTTTATGCTCATATCACTTTAAGTCTGCTTATTTTACTATAGAAGTGATGAATAAGAGGAACACTGTTTAACTGTTTGGTACAGTGCACTGCTGTGATGAGTGGGAATACATTTTGCTCATCAGAAAAATATCCCTTTGTATCATACAACCATAATGTTTTTCCTTATTGAAAGGAAAGTTTTCTTGTAAAAACAAAACAAATTACACACAGGTATTTATATATACTCTTATTACATTTTTTAATAAAAACAAACCAAAAGACATTACAAAGCTACTGTATATATTCTGACATGAAACCATCCACTCTACTAGTTTGGGAAACAGGCTACTAAGTTCACCTCTGGTCCACAAGAGGGCATTTTAACAAAAAAAAAAAAGTTATCATTTAACCTCAGTTGGGGTAGTTTGAAGCCATGTGTTTACTCATGTCATTTTCATGATTTGAAGCACTTTTATAATTGAGAAAAAAGAAAAAGACTCTTTACACAAGTCTGGTTTTAACACTGAGTGCATTTTAATAAGCCTTAAATTGTCAGAAATATATTTTCCTAATGTTCAGTCATCAGTCTGTTCACAGAGCTAAAGCGCTGGCTGGTGTGTATTGATGCTGGTGCCATACGTGGGTGTATACAGACATGTGTTCTAGCTGGTGTACCAGCCCCTGCAGGTGGTTACTTTAAAGGAAGTTGTGTGCTTCCTTGTGGAAACAACAAATGGCGTATGTTGTTTTGTTTTGTTTTTTTTTCCACCATCATTAACGTACAAGTTAACGTGAAGTAACCGCACTTCCTGTCTGACCACAGCACTACACAGACACACCAGTGGTTTTGTATTTGTTGACAGTGTATGATCATGTTTTCATAAAATACTGTGTTTGCAGTTTATTTTTCTAAGTATGTTTTTAATGGGAAGCCTTTGCCTGTGAAGAAACCTTTAAAACAACAGTTGCTACTCGAGTCATTGAAAATGTCATAAAGCCAATTAAAAAATGTGGATTTCCCGTCAGAGTAAGTTTTGAAAATTCAGTAAAATCTATTAAACACAGAATTTTATTGAAAATTCAAGTGCTCTGCTTTTTTCTCATAATTTAATAAAAATCATTATTTGGTTTAAAAATCCTTTTTTGTGGCACGTTTCTTCTGTAGGATGAATTGTTTTTTTTACAGGAGCTCAAAGTAAACACGTCATGTCGACACACTTTCCTGACTTAAAAGGAGGACAAAGGCTTTCTTCATCATCTCCTGGATGACTGTGTGTTTGAGTTTGTACATGCCCCACTGGTATGTGTGTGTTTGGTGAGTTTTGTGCGTTAACGTTCAACCATCTTTAAAAAGCTCTGCATTTGGCTGAATAGAAGGAAGTGGCTCTGACTTCCCCAGGAAATGGGAAGAGGAAACCTGGGGGCTTTGACCTCTCTGGCTGCACTGGAACCATAAGACGACTCACAGGACAGAAAACGCGAGAGAGAAGGGAAGGGTGGAGGGTAGACAGAAAGAGAGACGCTGCCTGTCATTGTGCTCCCTCTCTGTCTAACAGGAGCACAAGTTGGGAAAGAAAGAGGTGAGGAACAGACTGGACATAAGGACTTTTGGCCCCGGGGTTTGGTTTGGGCCGGGTGTGGAGATGAAGCATCTCCTCAGAGCTCTGAGTGCTCTGCTCTACTGCTTGTTGTCCTCCTCACACACACTAGGTCCTGCTGGGAAGAACGTCTGCCCCAGTAGCAGGTACACTTCATCCTTACTTTCACTTAAACTTGTCGACTGTTTACTGTTTTGTCAAGTGAAGATAGCAGGAGCCAATCTATTACTTGGACATGTTGAAACTGGGGTATTAATACTGTTCCTGTGACACTGTAGAGGCATGAGAATGTATTTCTCAAAGAGTGTCACTTTCGTGAGGCATATAGGACTGTGCTGGACAGCAGCTCGGTCTCAACACAAGCACCATTTGTTTGTAATTGAGCTTTTCTGGTTAGATGACAGAATTTTACTTGTTGTTTTCTGTATATTTAGGGATCCCTCAACCCTGATCTGTTGCACTGGATGGCGTCAAGAGGGTTACGAGTGCACTATACGTGAGTTTAACTCTTCCACTAGATGGCAGTTTGCAGGACGGATCCTTTTACTGCTTCTGATTTGTCTTTCCTTCCTCTGGTTCCTCATGCATTGGTATGTTCTCTCTGTGTGCGTGTGTGTGTGTGTGTGTGTAGCTGTGTGTGAGGGTGAGCAGGCCTGCCTAAAGGGTGAGATCTGTGTGTATCCTGGAGTGTGTCGCTGCCCACCTGGCTACTATGGAGCTTACTGTAAAGCACGTGAGTTACAATAAATAACAGAAGATGTTGAGCATCAGTTCATTGATGTGTCTGATTTGTCAGTTTGATTTTCACTGGACAAATTGCTCTAATCATCTGAACAGCCAATAAATCCTCCTTGAACTTGAAATCTCAGAGATATTTAACTTACATAAGTAAAATGACCAATGCAACAGAATAAAAATACTTTATTACATAAAATCTTACTAAAAATAAAAATACAGAAGTATTATCAACTTCATGTACAGAAAGTATTAAAGGTAAAAGTACTCTTTTGGCAAAACAACTGCCCTGAGTGACACGGTATTTTATTATGTGGCACACATAAGATTATTTTGCATTAATACAGCACATTAATGCATAACTACAATGTTACTTTTGTGGAGCTAGTTTTGAATACTGTGTATACAGTCAGGTCTTTTAGTTCAGTGGTTCCCAGCCTAGGGCTCTGACCCCTCCAAAAGGTCACAAGATAAATCTGAGAGGGATGAGGGAGGGGAGAAGAAAAAGTTCTACACAGGGTTGTGTTCAACAAACTATTAACTGCTTGAAAAGTTTAGAGGGGAAGTATTTCTGTCATATAACCTTTAATAACTTATAAACATCTAAAATGTGATTTTTGTGACATGCCAAAAATGACTGGGTGCCACTGGTTCAGTCTTCAATTATACAAAGTTAAAGTTTTTCACAAAAAATCTTTACTATAGCAGTCAAATGTATCAAAAGTATCATAAAACAGTAAACTGAATGTGTTTTACATTTCACCGCCTGACACACTGATTACACAGTGTACAGTACTGTTCAGTACTATGTCTTATGTGTTTGTTGGTTGTTACCAGGCTGTCCTCCTGAGTTCTGGGCTTCGGATTGTCGCCGTGTGTGTCAGTGCTACCCAAACGGTCGCTGTGACCCCGCCACTGGCGAGTGCACCTGCAACCCCAACCGCTGGGGTCCACAGTGCCGTTACTCCTGCAAGTGTACCCGTCACGGTCACTGCCACCCTGTTCACGGAAACTGCACCTGCGACGAAGGCTGGTGGACGTCGACCTGCTCCAGGCAGTGCCACTGCTTCCCCGGAAACTCTTTGGGCCCCGGCTGTGACCAGTTAACAGGCCGGTGTCAGTGCAATCTAGGGCACTGGGGGCCAAAATGTCAACTTAATTGCAGCTGCTTCCTGTCACCGTGTAATCAGCGAAACGGTGCTTGTGAGTGTGAGGCAGGTTGGTGGGGACCCGGCTGTGACCGACGGTGTAACTGTGACCTCAGGCACAGCAGCTGTGACACCGCCAACGGGCAGTGCCTGTGCCACCCGGGGTACCAGGGTGTCTTCTGTAACCAGCCCTGTGAAGCTGGGAAGTATGGAAGTGGGTGTAAAATGAGGTAGGTGTTAGACATAAAAGGCAGATACTCTTAAACCTGTGTCTTTCCATGCTGAGCTGACATTGTATGATTGATAACAAACCTCGTCTGGCTCTCTGTATGTCCTGTCCGTAAGCTGTAGTCACTGTAAAGACACCCAGCAGTGCTCTGCCACTGATGGTGCCTGTGCTGCCTGTGAACCTGGCTGGAACGGTACACGATGTGACCGCCCCTGCGCATCTGGTTATTACGGTGATGACTGCCGGGAGAGGTGTCCACGTTGCAGGAACAATGAGCCCTGTGACCCCAAAACTGGGAAATGTTGGAAGTGTGATCCTGGATGGACTGGACCCAGGTATGTGAGCATAAAGTTACACTGAAGGTTTAAGGACAGACAAATCACTTTGATGATGTCTTTACTTCCTTCTTCACATTTCAAAAGTATCTAGTGTTATAGTGTGTGTGTGAGCATTTTATCAACTGTGTAAATGAGGGCAGGTATGTGTGACCAAGATGCTGTAATATCCATAAGTCCATATAAGTGTGGGACATTATCCACAAACTGTTGTCCTCATTGTTTATGTCCTCGGTCATTGATCCCTGTTGCCCAGGTGTGATGAGGCCTGCTCCAACAGGACGTTTGGAGATGCCTGTAGCTTCCTGTGTGGCCCCTGTTTCTATGGTAACTGTCATCATGTGACAGGAACATGTGTCTGTGAGCCAGGCTTTCAGGGAGAGAGGTGAGCTGGCTGGTTGTGTTACAAATGAAAGCACTGCTTGTCTTATAGCTTCACTGAAAACACACACACACAGATTATTTAACCAGCCACACCAACACACTTTGCTGACAGCATTATTCTTGTGATACCTTTACAAAAAAGGACTAAAATAAATGCTACGTTGTGTGTTTTTTTAACTCATGCCTTTTGTATTGTGAAACCCTGATAGTGGCCATAGTGTCAGCAGATTAATAAGGGCCTTTGTTCTTGTTGTTGGCTGTTATAGCACATAAATAAAGCTGAATGATTCAGTGCTCCTACAATTGTTTTTGTGGTTTACTTTATTTTTTCCAGCTGTAACAGCAGCTGCTCCAGCCTGCAGTTCGGCCTAAACTGTTCCTCTGTCTGTGGCTGTGGTGAGGGGGTCAGCTGCCACCCAGTCACTGGAGTCTGCCCCAACAGTATGTCTGCCCATCAAAATGCATCTTTGTATGCATCTGTTTTTATTATCCTTGGATTAGTGTATGAGCCTAAGACGCCTCACGTGTTTCTCGATGTGTGTGTGTGTGTGTGTGTATATATCAGGTGGAAGAAGTGCTGTACTAGCAGGTGTGCTGGTCCCTTTGCTCCTGTTGCTGTTAGCAGTAGTCTGCTGTTGTTTGTGTTGTGGAGGGGGCCCCAATGACAGCAAAGACAGGTCTGTATCTCATTTGCCAATATGGTTTCTGCTTAGCAGAGAAGTGAAGCCGAAACACAACTGAACTATACTGAACTGGATCAGACTGAAAACACTCTGTGCTTGGCTGCATTTTGTTTTATTTCTCTGTATAACATTACAGTCTAAATATTTGTCAAAATGTTTATGTATATGTTTATTTTAAACAAAGTCCTCCCATCCCATTCCCCCGCTAAGTGTTAAATATTGTAACTGAATCGTCATATACTTGACCATACAGTAAATAAACATTTCATATAATAAATTAAGGTCACAAGTGGCCCAGCTGATTCCTCCTGTTGCAACTGAAACAAGTAATGTGCCATACTGTGAAATCATTACTATGTAAACCTTTGTCTTTCAGGGCAACTGTGGCTGATGGAGGCTTGTTAGCTCGAATGAAATATCATGTCTATAATGTCCTGGCTAACATCGGTGCTGCCCTCCCCTGTATCTCTAATTGGTCCTCTGGTCTGCCTCGAGTCACTGGTCAGTCTCATAACGCAGTATTTATAGTCCAACACACTAACACGCTTTAATGGACTCCACAGCTCCAGGAGTACTCGTACATAAGGACATCACATTTTGTGACTCACTATGAGCTGTATATTCTCATGATGCCTGTATTTGCGCAGAGAAACTGCACACCGTTATTTTCTGTGGAACTGTGCTACACGTTGACCTACTGTATAATAATGAGACACATTTTATTGCTTTTAAATCTTCACTTTGTGGAGAAATAACTGCATGAGTTATGAACTGAAGCTGAAGTAGGTGATTTCCTGAAGGGTTAGGTGGTGTTCAGTGCTCGGTCACTTTGCTCAACCAGTTTCAATCTCAGCCTAAAATACAGTGGGTAATTTCCTGGTATTTGAACAAGGTATTTCTTGGGAATTAAATGAAATAGTTATTTTGTGTACCATAAAATGCCCCCACTGCTGTGTATGTGTAGTTGAAATATTTTAAGAAATTGGTTCAATTATTAATACAAGACATGGACTAAATTTATAGACTTTACAGCCTGGAATGTATTTTATCTGAAACTGAAACATTAAAGGTACAAAATAAACATTTACACTAACTAATTGCAAATGAGTACAATTAATTTAAGTCTCGGAGCCCTAGGGAAATCAAACATCCCTTAAAGCCTAACCATAAAAACATACAACCTTTTAATAGAGGTACTTCAATGCACATATTTTTGTTGCCTTGCCCTACAGAAGCACAGTGAGAGCCATTGTACTAGTCATTTTTAATTCAGATTTTGTATTTTTTTAAACTGTTTTTATGCCACACACAGTATCTCACCATGACCCCGAGCTGACCTTCAACCACAGCTTCATTGAGCCTCCTTCCTCTGGCTGGGTGACTGAGGGGTCGTCCTTTGACAGTGATGAGGAGGAGGAAGAGGCTCTCTACTGTGTCCCTCCAAGGGAAGGTAGGAACAGGGATACAGGTTGTCAGACTTTACACTGAACTGTGACTGCAAGCTTTCGTTTTATACTGCCTGACTTCTCACTCTCGCTGTCTCACCAACAGACATCCCGGCGGTGGCAGGTGGTGAGTTCCAGGAGATGAGTTCAAAGTGTAACATGTTCTTAGACCCATCAGGTTTCAGCAGTGAGGACATCACCTCACCCTTCAACATCCCACGCACCTCCAGCATCGCCAAATCCAAGCGGCCATCGGTCTCTTTTGCCGAGGGCACCCGCTTCAGCCCCAAGGAGAGGCGTGGCTCAGCTCACGATGCCAGCGCTCTCTCTCGCAACAAACCCAAATCAAACTGGGGGGTTTTGATGCTCTCTGCCCTCCAAAGTCAGGGAAGTGCAGCTAGAACTGGGGAGGAGGAAACAGCTGAGGATGAGCAGGAAAAGGAAGATGAAGTGGATGTGCAGGTGACAGACAACCAGGAGTCAAGCTGTGAGGCAGGGGGCCAGGAAGCAGACAAACTCCCTCACCGGGCCACCCTGCAGGTCCCTGGGTCATCAGGAAGAAGACGGACTATGTCAAACACAGCTGTTCATAAAGCTACCCAGCTGCCAACATCTGCCTCAGATGCTCAGGCGGGGATGTCCAGTAAGGTCACCACAGTGTATGTGACGGTGGGTAAGGCAGGTAGGCCTGTATCAAAGACAGAACCAGCCTCTGAGGGCCCTGTTCAGGCAATGCTACGGCGACTCGGAAGCCTCCAGAGGCAAAGGGAGCAGGAGTCTGGCAAGCCCAGACCCAAGGGAGGCGAAGTAATTACCAAACCACCCAGGAGAAAGCTTGGAGCTCGGGCGAGTGTATGGGAGCAGGGAGGGCCGTCAGGAGGTGAGGGTGGTGTAAGTAAGCCCATCAGGAGGAAGCACACCTCTGTCAGCTCACCTGAAGCAGCGGGTGCTAATGACACACCACCATCAGAGGGCAGCACTTCAAAAAGGCCATTGTCATCTATTTTGAAGAGTGTGCCAGAGGTGGCTTCCCCTGACTCGGGGTCAGATATGACGGCTGAGGGAAACACAAGGCAGGGCGGTCACCTCATCACAGGACAAACTGAGAGCAGCTACCTGACTGTAGGACCAGCAGGAGACACTGGGAGTCTCACCGAAGTCATCACCAATGAAGGAGCAGTGGCCAGTGTGAAAGATGAACCCTGCTATGAAAATGTTGTGATTAAACACTCGTAACCTCTGAGAAACTAATATGTCAGCAGGTCTGATCCTAATAGAACAGCTTACAGTATTTATTGTTCTGTACTTATAACATTAAAGAACAAATGGACATTGTATGAGAAGGGAAAAAGACTGTAACAGATTATGAAAATGCAATCAAACTCCACTCACTGTGAATCAGCACATGGCACATCCAAACCAAGTTGTTCTGTCTGTACTATTTTATACTTTTATACCAGTCAGGATATATCAGGTAACTGGAATTGTAAAAATACTTTCACATCTACAGACTAGTGATAGACTGACTAGTTGGTTGGCCGAATGATCGGCTGATATTTGGCATTTTTAGATAACTGGCATTGGCTGATGTCAGTGCTCATGAGTTTCGATTAACATAAAATGTTTGCACACATCTGTAGGCAGCCTTGTCAGTCAGACTTTAGTTTTTTTTTAATTTCTTGTAGACATTTTTTAAAATTTAAAATAAAGGTTGTGCAGAGTGTATCCAGCAGAGACAGTGCTCATTTTTTCTTTTTAAATACTTGAAATAATTCAGATATTTTCACAATTCATTAGTGTTAAATAAATGCTCATTTATATTCAGCAAATTGTCTCATTTGTTAATATTACATTTTTGTATTCTATCTAATGCAACAAAAGAACAAAATGATATCATCATTATACCACGTGGGACATGAAAAAGTAGCCCGCCTCCAAAACAATCCACTTGATTCTTCATCTTGGTGGGCTACTTTTCCATGGCCCACCCTGTATATCGGCCATCGGTCTCCCTCCTCTCTAAACACTGGCTTCAGGCACTGAAAAACCCCTATCACTGTACTGCTACTGCAGCTTGCTGTCACTTTGAGCAGGTACCTATCTTCTGCCATGAATCACATAATGTTACAGTTGGGTCAAAAACATCATTACAACTTAGGACTTTTTATCTTACTCAAAAATCTGTACTTGTCAAGACTTGACTCCTTTTATCATGTCATAATCATCATTCAGCACACATCATCAAACCTCCAATACTTGCTTCCCTGTTGAAAGTTTTAATTTAAACCATAAAATCAGTGGTGTTACATACTATCAACACAAGATCATTCTCTTTGTCCTCACCTTGAAGATGTAGGTCTTCCTTTGACAGCTGATACAGGTGGATTTCAGGTCCAGTTCAAAAAAAGTACACCCCTAGAAAACTCACAAGTTCATAAGGATGTTTCTTCAATAGTACTGACACATCACTGGCATCGGTCCAGTATGCAGTGCCCTTAAGAGCAATTGAACCACCAAACAACTTTTTTCAGCTGAAAACCAATGTATACAGGTGTTTAGTAGTGTTGTTGATTGATTCAGGCACAAATCTTGACATTTAATTATTTGAATTCTGCCTCTGGTGTCATAAATATAGGGACTGCTCTTTACTGGTTGAAACTGTTACTGCTATTGGCTGATTTGGTGGCAGGTGGCGTGTACAGTGCCCCCTTTCATTACCTTACTGTAGCACAGGGGTTCTCAACATTTTGTAACTTAACTTTTGATTGTAAAACATTTCCAAGGACCACCCTCCCAAATAAATGAGAAAAAAAAAAAACATCAAATACAACACTAAATAAATAAACATGGCTTAAATATTGTATTATGCCACTGTGGCTGCCGACCACCAGAGGGCGCTCTGGTTAAGGATGGCTGCTTTAGCAGACAGCAGCAAAGTCAATGTAACTATATGGTACTGCTCCTATTGTTTGGGACTATTTGACCTTCCCATGATCTGCTAATACTGTAAAAAGCGGTCCTTATTTAAATATATTATAAAAATGTATTAGATCAAAAGATTTCTAAAAAATCCAGACAGCATGTGGGATATCATCCCAAATTTCCTATTTGAAAAGGTTGGTGGTCTTAATTTCATATCAGTGTGTCCCCTCGCTGTGGACAAGCTCCCAATCAAACTCTCCAACTTCCATAAATCAGCCCTTGTGAGTTGGTCGCTCCTGTATAAGTACAACTACTCTCCTCATAAATATTTTTATGGAATAATGACATTATTACTTACAACAACAAACCCTTTTTTTGAAATTTGTTTTAACAATGACATTCTACTTGTAAAGCAGTTTAATTGTAACGGATGTCTAATTTCATATGAGCATTTCATAGATAAGTACAGGGCCCCCAGCTCCTTTCACTTCCTTCTGGTATTCTTTATTTACCAATCTTATTTTGAACTCTGAAAAAAGTCACAATCTTTTACAACTTTTAAACAATCTGATCTGAGCCATTACTTCCAAACACTGTCACACTAAAAGCATTTGAACAAAAAAGGAACCAGAACCACTGATCTTTTCGCATTTTAAATTTCATATCAATATAACTTCACTTCACTTTGTCCTCCCTGTTTTTCTTGTTCTGCTTTGTTAACTTAAGTTTACTTTGATGTGTTATGCCTACTTTTGTTTATTTGATGCACCCTGTTATGCAATTGATGCAACTGTTTGTACAGAATTGTGTTTCTATTAATTAAAAAGGCTTGCGTTGTCATGACGAGACCACGCCCCCTTGCATCACGTTTGCATATTTTAAATATGCCGGGAGAGCAGAATGTTTTTCCTTTTTCATTTTCTTTTGAATTTTGGGCAGAATATTCATCCATATTTTTCTGCAACAGTTTGAAAGTACTAACAATATTTCTACTTGAAATCCCGGGTGTGCTGTCCATTTTTCAGAAAACGTGGGCCTGTAGTTTCGCGGTCACGATGAGCATGAGCGGCTACGGTGCAGGGATGAGAAGGGTTGATTTCCCAGCAGCCGGTAGGCGGTGCAGAAACCAGAACAACCAGACACCCTGCAGATGCTGACGAAGGAGGCGGCTGGATATGTGCTGTAATTGGAAGACGGCGCTATATTTTGCGTTTTTGTAGGCCATCCGCTACGGTGCGTCTGATGCCGTGAGAAGAAGAGGCCTTCTTTGTCTGCTAAAGCTCAGGAAATACGAGAGAAGACAATGACAGCAGCGGTTCCCCCTCCGCACAACGTGTAGGATTTACTGCCTAGTTCCCCAGACTGAGGTTATGTGTGCTGAGGCTTTTTAAGGACGCTTCTGCAAACGGATAAGTCATCTGTTGGTCTGTTGGGTGGAGGAGACAAAGCAGCAGCTGTGAAGAAAAGAAAGGACAATTCGTTAACACCTGCTCAGGATCTGGTTATATATTTATTACCAGGGATGACATCATTTGATTTACAACTTGTCGCGTCTGTGAGAGTGGGCTGTGTTTACATGACGTGCAGTAAACTGTAGGTTACAGAGAGGGACTGGAGGCCTTTGTAAACAAATCCTTTTCAGCACCGAGGAAAGCGTCCCCCGACGCTTATCATACTTGGTTCGCCGGTAGATGATCTTTTCTCTGACTCTCTTCTTGTGGAGGCTCTACCAATATTTCTCCATGTTCAGCTCAGATAGACTCACGGTCCCGGATTATGTCAGCCGACTGCAGAGAGGCAGGGGGCGCTCCCGCTCCTCGCGCGCGGCCCC